AAAATGGCAGAATGAGAGCTCGAGGTCATCTTCGACTTCCTGCGCTCCCTACCAGTGCGCTGGCGGCAAACGACAGGCACTCGCGCCCCGCCGGCCTCGGCAGGACTGATTGGACAGGCCGAAGCAAACGAGGGCCCTGACTCGGCCGGACACCTGGCGGGCTTGGCGGTTGCCTCCAAGGATCCAATCGTGGCCCGCGTCAAGCGGCTGGAGGGCCAGATCAAGGTAGCCTGGAGAGCTCACTGCGCAGTACGACGGCAACGCGTTGGTCCCATGGCTGCATGGCGTGAGCTTCCTGCGCGATTTCCTCGCAGCGCGCGTAGGGCAGCGTGACGCAGTTCCCTGATTCGGGCGGGCAGGCACCGGACAAGCGCTGGTCTGTCGCTGTTTCCTTTGTCACACGCCGATCAGTCGCTCGTGTCACGCGCCGATGAGTCGGCTGCTGTGTCCCGTTGCTCACCGATCTGTCGCCCTGGGCGCGCGCCGCTCTGTCGCCTTCGGTTCTGCCGCGTTTCTCTTGCGATTGCTTCCGCCACTCCCGGCCTTAGGCCCCGTGGCGTTTTGTCTTCTGTCGGGGGTGGCGCGGCGTTCCTGCCGCGTTCCGGCGGCGCTCCCCCCCGTGGCGGCTCGTCGGTTCCCCTTCCTCCTCGTGGGTCGTGGGGTTCGCTCGGTCGCCGTCGTCGGCGGTCGTGGGCTCGGCCGTGTCGCGGGGTCCCCCGCAGTCGCGTTTCCTGGCCCCCATCCTGCCTCTGCCTTGCGTGCCCTTTCCCCCCTGTCCCCCTCCTTCCGGGTCGTCCCAACTACGGGGGTTGGGCCGTTTGGCGCCTGGAGCTTTCTTTCCTGGCGCCGCGTGTGCGCAGCAGGCCAGTTTCGCAGGCAAAATGAATTTCGCGCCGTGAGGGGGGATTCGGAGAACACCACCGCAGCCTGAATAGAAGATTCTACCATCTGCCCCCTGTCCATCCTCCTCCTCCTTCTCCTCCTCCTCCTTCTCCTCCTCCTCGTTCTTTTCCTCCTCCCCTTCCTTCCCATTTCTCCCTCTTTTTCGGGGCGTCCTTGCCGGATTTCTTCGTAATGTAGACGTTGGTGCGTGAAGTGCATCGGTTTCACACGTGTTGCTCGGTCGATGCCAGTCGGTGCGTTATCGCAGTTTTTTTTCGGCCTGCGTGGGCGCGTCACTGACATTGGCGTTTCTCGGTGGCGCGGCTGCCCACCAGGATTGGTTTCGCCCCCGCCAGTGCATGTCTCCACGTGGTTTTCGTTCAGCCATCACCAATCCATGCTGTCTTGGCGGTGCCGCGGCTGTAGGGTCAGCACTCCGCCTCGCGCCGCTGGTTCGTAATTGCGTTAGCGCCACCCTACCAATCGGCTGGTCTGGCAGCTTTACAGTTTGGGTTGCAATGTGTACCGGCGTTTCAGGTTGTTTTGTGTCGAGCTATCGTGCTCTTCGGGCTCTGGTTGCTGCACGTTTTTTGGGCCATCGTGTGTCGGTGATGGTTGGCCCTAATCAGCACCATGATGTTGTTGCCCTTCAATTTACCCGCGTTGAGCTTATGTTTTGGGTCTCCTTTGGCCGCTGCACGTTGGCATTGCAGCGCCTCTTTCGTTTTCTATCACACCACCTTTTGCATGGCCACGGTTGGGCTCTTCCACCATGGCGCGTTTGACTAATTTCTAGACGTTTCACGTAACCCCAACAGCCCATCCAGAGACGATGCCCAGAGGCTTTGCCTCGATCAGGGAAGTGGTCAGCACGCAGATGAAAGGGTCCTTCTTCGAGCGCTCTTGGGTTTTCTTGGGGCCATCTTGGGGCTCTCTTGGGCCTCTCTTGCGTCTTGGGGGCCTCTTGGCGGTCCCGGGGGCCTTTTGGAGCGTCTCCGGGAGTCTCTTGGGGCCTTTTGGGGGTCTCTTGGGAGCCTCTTGGAGGCCTCTTGGGCGCCTCTTGGGGACTCCTGGGCGCCTCTTGGAGCCCTCTTGAGGCGCAGTTGGGAGCCTTGGGAGCGCTCTTGGGGCCATCTTGGGGGACATCGATCAAACAAGAGGGAACCATTAATTCGCGTTGTTCCTCCGGAGCCCCAAAGGTCGCCTCTTGGGGCGTTTTGGGGCGCTCTTGGAGCGGTCTTAGGCGCTCTCGGGGCCGTCTTGGGGCTCTGTTGAGCCTCTCTTGGACCCTCATGGCCCATCTTGAAGCCACCTCGAGACCCAGATGCCATCGGAAGCGAAAAAGGCGAGAACACAAAACACATTGATTTTCCATATGTTTTGGAAGGATTTTGTCCTCTTCGGGGCCTCCTGGGGGAGATCTTTGGCTACTTGGAGGTGTCTTGGAGCGGTCTTGGGGCCTCTTGGAGCATCTTGGGAGCCACCTTGAGGCGTCTTGGGGTATCGTGAGCCATCTTTGAGATCATCTGGGGCTCTCCCAGGCCATGCGCTCTTGGAGCCATCTTAATCAGGCCCCCCCCCCGGAGGCCAACATGTGGCCAAAACCTTAGTCAACTCAATGATTTTGCCATTCTCGCCGAGGCCTCTTGGGGCGTCTGGGGTGCCTCTGGGGTGCCTCATTGGGCCTCTCGGGGGTCTCTTGGGAGCCTCTTGGGGGCATCCTGTGAGCCTCTTGGAGGCCTCTTGGGGCCTCCTGGGCACCTCTTGGGGCTCTTTGGAGCGCCCTTGGAAGCCTTGGGGACAATCTTTGGGCCATCTAGGAGGAAATCGATAAAACAAGAGGGGAGCTTTAATTTGTGGTGCCCCCAGCGGGGGGCCAAAATGGAGCCCAAACCCCCAGTAGAACCAATGATGTTGGCTTCCTCGCCGAGGCCGTTTTGGACGCTCTGACACCTCGCGACCGGCCCCGTCCAGCTCCAGGGGAGGGGGTAGGGGGAGGGGTCAAGACTGCCTCCCCGCCCGCAAGCCGTCTCGCTCACTCCCACCCGCCCTCCCAAAACATACGCACCACCCGAGCTTGGCCGGAACCGCAGCATATTCAGCAGTCGTCTTTGGATGGGCAGCTACTGGGGGCCAATCCGCCGCCGCCGCCGCCGCCGCCTCCGCCGCCGCCGCCGCGCCGCCCGCCGCCGCCGCCGCCGCCGCGCCGCCGCCGCCCCGCCGCCGCCGCGCCGCCGCCGCCGCCGCCCCCGCTGCCGATCGCCGCCGCGCAGCCGCTGCCGCCGCAGCCGCCTGCCGCTACCCGCCGCCGCCGCCGCCGCCGCCGCCGCCGCCGCCCCCGCCGCCGCCGCCGCCACCGCCGCCGCCACCGCCGCAGCCGCCGCAGTCGCTGCCCCCGCCGCAGCCGCCGCCGCCGCCGCCGCCAAGTGTATTCTTCTGCATTGTTTTTTGACATGGGTGATAGGGGGAGGCCGCATCGGGTTCGCTGCGCATGCTCCGAATTTGGAGGCAGAGTGTATTTTGTATGGTTTTTTACAAGGGATGGTGGGGGCCCTCATTGGCTCGGGTTGGCTCCCAGTCGCCTGGGGGAGGGGGTGTATAGTAATAGGGAACAGTGATAAACGCCTCCCCGAAGGAAACGAGGGGCAGATGACAGACAAAACACCCTAGACCACCTACGCCCTAAAGGGATGGTGGGATTCGTTCGCGGTTGGCACGGCCACCTGCCGACAGCGCCTGAGGATCTTCTGCGCCGCCGACTTGCATATGTAGATTTACAGATCTCTCTCACTATATCTATATATATATATATGTGTGTGAACTTACATACATGCATATGTGTATATTTGTATATATATGTATGTATACACATCTACGTATCTATGTTTTTGTGCGTGCGCGCGTGCGTGTGTGCGTGCAGGCGTGCGGGTAGATGTTCATGTGTGTGTGTGTGCGTGTGCGTGTGCGTGTGCGTATGTGTGTGTGTGTTTGTGGGTGTGTGCGTGTGCGTGTGTGTGTGTGTGTGTGTGTGCGTGTGTGTGAGTGTGTGTGTGTGTGTGTTTGTGTGCGTGTGCGTGTGTGTGTGTGTGTGTGTGCGCGTGTGCGTCTGCGTTTGGGTGTGCATGTGTGTGCGTGTACCTGCCAAGCCGTTGGTTGAGCTCGACCCTACCCAGGTTACCAGTCCTGGCTTCACTCCCACACAGGGTGGGGTAGCTTACCCCGAGCGTAGCCGTCCTTCGTACCATGACTTCCGCCAGTCACATCCCATCGGCGTGCTGGAGTAAAAGCTGAGAGCGCATGTGGGAATGCAGTAGGCCCTTATGCCCATCAAGGCTCGCCTTCCTCCTGTCCCTCCTCGCCGCCGTCGTCCCCCTCCTGCTTCTACCCAAGCAGTATCAGTTATGTGCAGGCCTGGCGTGAGAGGCCAGAGGTCGTCGGATGCTGCCCCGTGCCTCCGAGACAGGCCTGGGGGATGGTGTCGCTGCCTCTCGTCGGCTTTCCGTTCCGCGCACGTTGAGAAATGGATCCGCAGGTCGGCCGCATCCCCCGGATCCCCCTGGTCCGTCTTCGGGCCCTCTCTCGGCTCTCCGGCGGTCATTCGGGGAGATGTGGGCGCCCCCCAGACCGCTCTCGGCGAGGCGCGGCCGCTGGAGGTCACCCCGACTCTGGAAGACCGTGGTGAACCGACGATGACGCCCGAAACCCTGGGACCTTGAGCGTATCCCCCCCACCTGGCCACGCCCACCCCATTGGACCTGGGAGCGGGTCAGACGTCCTCCTGGCCAAGCCAGGGAGGGCGTAGATCATCGAGAATGAAAAGAGCCCCTAACCCTAATAGCACAGGGAAGACTGGCTTCACGTGGATCCCCGTCTTTACTTTCGGGATAATAACTCTGGGCGGCTTGGTTCGGTACATCGGCAGAACAAGACCCCCTCTCCATGGTGTTGTTGGCCCTCCTAGCGTCAGTCCCCTCCCAAAGGGTCAGGGGGTCCTTCCATTTCCGATCGTATACCGCTCCTGGTCCCAGAATGGGCCTGGCCAGCAGCAGTCGCCCGCCGCCGCCGCCGCTCGAGAGGTGGAGGCGAGCCCCGGCGGAGGGGAGCGGCACCTGGTCCTGATGAGGGCCACGCTGCGATCGCCCACCGTCAACACCTCCGTGGACTACAGCATGCGGCGGGCAGAGGCCGAGGCGGCGCACTGCGCCGCGATGGAGGGGAGAGGAGGGAAGAGGACGAGGAGAGGGGAGGACAGGAGGAGGAGGAGGAGGAGGAGGAGAGAGGAGGAGGAGAGGAGGAGGAGGAGGAGGAGGAAGAGGGGACGAAGCAGGAGGGGGTAGGAGGAGGGAGGAGGGGGGAGGAGGGAGGAGGGGGGAGGAGGGAGGAAAGGGGTGGAGGAGGGGGAGGAGGAGAGGGAGGAGGAGGAAGGAGGCGGAGGAGAGGAGGAGGAGGAGGAGGAACGAGGAGGAGAGGGAGGGAGGGAGGAGGGAGGAGGAGGGGAGGAGGAGGAGGAGGAAGGAGGGAGGAGGAGGAGGATGATGATGATGAGGAGGAGACGTCGGAGTCAGAGGAGGAGGAGGAGGAGGAGGAGGAAGGAGGAGGAGGAGGAGGAGGAGGAGGAGGAGGAGAGGAGGGAGGAGGAGGAGGAGGAGGAGGAGGGATGAGGGCAGAGATGAAGGGAACGGATGCTACCCCGTCTCAGGGGCTCTCTTGGGGCACGCTAGGAGCCCCCTTGGGCACTCTTTGATGCGTGTATGGGGGTCTTCAAAGCGAGAGTGGCGGGCGGCTCGCGCCGCAAGCAGTTTCGACTGTTGGGCGAGAGTGCCTGGTCGCTTCCGCCAGACGGCGCGACCTGCGCTTGGAGGATGCCATGCTCGGTCGAGCCTTTCTCGAATTTTCATAGTGGTGACGTTTAATCGGTAGGGTTGCCAGTGATCGCATGTGGGGCTGGTGCATCGCACAATCGGAGCCGTCTTGGCGCCCTTCTGGGCTCCTCTTCGGTTTACCTTGGAGATCCATGGAGCCATCGGAAGCGAGATGGCTACAGTGAGCGGCTTGAATAAGGAACACTTACTTTTCAAAAGGGGCTCGGTCGTTCCTTAGGCTTACATGCGTTATTTACAGTTCCTTATGCGTTATTTGTTATTTATCGTTCCTTGTGCGTTATTCCTTGGGATAAAAAAGGGGCTTCGTTCCGTATTTATCGTTCCTTAGGTCAGGCCGATGATTGTAGAGTGTCAGAACCATTGGGGCCTCTTGGAGCTCTCTTGGACCATCTTGGGCCACCTCAGGCTATCTCGTGGCTGCTTCGGGGCCATCCTGGGGCCTGCCGCTTCCTGGTCGCTCTCTGGCCGGGCCCTCATTGGGACCCTCTCAAAAGCCCTCTTGCGGCGCTCCCCGGGCGCTCTTGGGGGGTCTTCGGAGCCGTCTTGTAGCCCTCCTGGGCTCCACTTTTCTCTCGGCGAGGACCATCGAGGGGCGTTTTTGTTCATTCAGCGAAACATGCACGCACGAACTCGAAAAATGCACGGGGAATGGACGTCCGAGCGATGGCGAGCTTGAGGCCATCTTTGGGGTCGTCGGAGCCATCTTGGCGCCCTTCCTGGGCGCCTCTTGCGGTTATCCAGGGCGGTATTGGAGCCATCTCGAGGCCTCAAAAGCCCATCGAACGCGGAACGGCGAGATGTTCAACATCATTGACAAGCATGTTGCGATGTTGCTGACCAGTTGGGATCATTGTGGCCCTCTCGGGTGCTGTCTTGGACCAACTTGGGCGACCTCGGGATTCACTTGGGTCATCTTGGAACTTTGTTCGCGCCATCCTCGGATGTCACCCATTGAGATTCGCTCTTGGACCGCTCTAGGGCACTCTTGGAGTCTTTCAAGGCGCGCCTTGGCGTGCTGGCATCCCGTGACGGTCTTGACAAGGATGTGCTTGGGAGTTGTCCAGGACGAGAAATTTTTGTATCCACCCAAGGTAGAACAGGTGTACCCCCCCCTGCCCCCTCTCCACCCCCCTCCCCGTAACGGTAACGCCCCGGCCCGGTACAATGCGCGATCTCGGGCAGCCTGGGGCCTGTGGTGCACGCAGGCACTCTTTTTGCGCGGTGCATACGGGCGTGTACTATGGTGTACGCAGGCACTGCGGTGTACACGGGCGTGGTGGCGCTCACATCTATCGTTGCAGCAGCAGCTGTGCTGTCCACAGGCGTAGTGTGTGTACGCAAGCATTGTGGTGTACACATCACAAGCCCTGTGGTGTACACACCGGCGCGCCCGCGATACTACCCCCGCCTCAAGTGTGCAGCATGGCAACTCCTTCCCCTGCAGCCCTGGGGCCGACCGCATCAACGAGCCAGTCGGGCCCCACGGGGGCCCCGCGCGCTCGCCGTGGTAGATCAAGAGTACAGCGTGGGGGACTCGATTCAGCCGCCTGGACAATTCGCGGTCTCTGGCGACCAGCGAGCCAACGTTCCACGCGTGGCTGCCAGCTCGCCAGGCTTCCGGAGAGCCCGCGCGGGCATGCCGCCTTACCTAGAGCACAGAGTCGTGGCGATGAGCACCTCGCCCAAGTGCCGACCAGGGCCCTCAGAGCGAATGTCGCGCATGCTTCAGCCCCTGAGATTACGACGCGGCTCACTGCCGCGGCCTGCTGCGCGTCCAGCCGCGATGCCCAGCTGGACCAACGCCGCGCCCGCCGCGGAGGGCGCGCCCAGCTGATGGCAAGCCTCGCCGCGGCCCACCCGCTCGCCGCTGCCCCGCCGCCTCTGAGCGGGCGCCTACAAGCCGACTCGCAGGCTACTGGCATGGAAGCGGACGGCGACGCCAGGTGCGGTGTTTGCCTCGGCGAATACCACGGCCTCGGCCTGGCTGACATCCTGCAGCGTGGCCAATCACATCGGAGCTGCGCCGACGCCCGGGGCCGCCGCGAGCCTCGCCAGCTCCCCGCCCGGAGCCGTCGAGGGCCATCGGCGAGGCGACCCGGCGTGCGGACGGCAATTGGTGGTGTGGGAGGTCTCGCACATGCACGTTGCACCCGGCGCCGCGTCCAGCAGAACCTGCGAACGAGGCGCCAACGACACCTCGGGGAGCTCCAATGCAAGAAGACATCACTTTCGGCGCGCTGGCTCTCACGCGGGGACAGCCCCCACCACGTGGTTCGCCACAAGATGATGGTGCCGAGATGCCGACGAACCCATGGGTAGCCCGCCAACGACTCCGCCAGCGGGTTCGCCACTCAGGTGTGTCACAGTCCTGCCATAGGTGAGTTTAGCGTAATCGTCGATCCAGGTGCTTGGACCAACCTCGCGGGGGAGGCGCTCGCGCGTCAGCTATGCCGACGCGCCGTCGATGCGAGGCACCAGCCGCAGCGACTCCTCTCATTGGCGAGCTCTTGCTTACCCTGGGTGTCGCCAACCGGACACGAGAGGGCACCCCTCAGGGGAGGGGACGAGCATAAGGACGAGGAGGAGGATGTCAGGGGGGGGGGGAGGGAGGTGGGCAGGAGGGCAGGAGGGAGGCCCTCCCTCCTGCCCGAGAGAGGGGCAGCGCCGCTCCCAGAGGTGCGGGAGGCGCTGCTGGAGGCCCTGCAGCCCGCCACCCGGAGCGGGGCGGGCGCGGACATCGAGGCGGCGCGGGGGGGGCCCGCGCGCGGGACGAGGTCGACGGTCGACGGAGGAGGAGTCCACCGCCTCCCTCGAGGGGCGAGGGCCACGAGGTCGTCGGGTGCGGTTGGCCATGCTTTGGGTCTTTGGTGGAGGAGGAGGAGGCGGAGGAGGAGGAGAAGGACGGGGACGAGGACGAGGACGAGGACGGTGATGATGACGACGATGATGGCGACGACGATGATGATGCTGATGCTGCTGATGATGACACTGGTGATCATGTTGTTGATGATAATTCGGATCATGATGATGATGTTTGTGGTGATGATGATGGTGGTAATCGTGCTGGTGATGATGCTGATGATGATGCTGATGATGATGCTGTTGGTGGTCATGACGATGAGCATGATGATGCTGATGCTGGTTATGATGATGCTGATGATGATGCTCATGATGGAGATGACGAAGCTGATGATGAATATGCGGGTGGTGGTGATGCTGATGATCAGGATCAAGGTGATGGTAATGATCGTGATAATGATACGGGTGGTGATCTTAGTGATGATGGTGCTGATGCTGATGCTGCTGATGATGCGGATGCTGCTGTTGTTGATGATTCAGATGTTGCCAATAACGATGGATGGTGATGGTGATGGTGATGGTGAGGATGAGGACGGTGATGATGATGATGATGATGATGATGATGATGGTGATGATGATGAGGAGGATGGCCATGCTCCTGGTGATAATGAGGATGACGATGTTGGTGATGATTACGATGGCGATGATGCGTAGCATGATGAGTATGCTGATGCTGATGCCGATTAATATGATGATCATGGTGCTGTTGATAAGGATGATGATGATCATGATGCCGATGATAATGACGGTGACGATGACGGTGACGATGGCGATGATGACAATACTGTTGAGTATGAAGATGACGATGATGATTATGACGATGGGGATGATGATGATGCTGATGATGATGCTGTTGATGGTGATGATGATGTGAGGTGGAGGAGGAGGAGGAGGAGGAGGAGGAGGAGGAGGAGGACCAGTGTAAACCAAAGAGTCACCAACGATGCTGGAATTAACCCTCCCTCCAAGCTCCCTCTTCAAAGGCCCTTGGAACGGTTCATTTTCATTGAGGGAACTGCCTCGCTGGAAGACAACCGTTTGAAGACCCTGAAGCATGCCAAAAAAAAACTCTCGGAATTCCAACGCTACAGATATACCTGACTGTTGCGTCGTGACGATCCTGAATCGCTCCAGAACGCCATTCCTGGGACTTCAACACAGCGAATCAACGTAACTGTTGCGCCCGCATAATCCTGAACCCTTCTAAGACATCATTTCTGGTACGTTAAGGATGGGAGCCCACCAAACCCTTGCAAGTTGTATAATCGAATGTTTGCGGCGCTAAGGCGAGAGTCACATTTAGGAAAAGAAACCGCCCTCAATCCGTGGAGGTCCTGCAATGTTTTACAACGAATGTGCGCGGCGCTCAGGCGAGAGCCACATCTTGAAAACCACCCGCCCTCAATCAGTGAAACTCTTGCAACTGTTCAAAACGAAGGTGCGCCGCGCCAAGGCGAGAGCCACATTTTGAGAACGACCCGCTCTCAACCCGTGAAACTCTTGCAAATGTTTAAAATGAGAGTGCGCGGCGCGAAGGCGAGAGCCACAGTTTGAAAACCACCTGCCTTCCATTAGTGAAACGATTGCCAATTTCCAAGCTTCATAGTCATAAGTGATGAGGAAGTCTCAGGCGAAACGCCCGGCCCGCCCTAACAACTGGCCTCGGGGTGCGACAGGGAGAAGTTATTCGCAAGGAAAGGAATGGAGAAGGAGGAGGAGGAGGAGGAGGAGGAGGAGGAATCTTATGATGGGGAGGAGGAAAAGGAGGGGGAGGGGAAGGAGGAGGACGGATGGAGGATGCATGGACGAAGACGGAGTGGACCTTCGCGTGGCCCGTCGTGGCCGGGTGTCGCGAGGAGGCCACTTCCCCGAGGCTCGAGGACGTCAGGGCCTTCCTGGGCGCCTCTGGCCACGCCTGGGTTCGGAGAAGGAGCCGAGGAGAAGCACGAGTAGGAAACTCGTCGGCGCGATCCGCGGCCGAACCCCCCACCCACCCCACGCCCCGCGCGCCAGCTGAGCGCGAGCGTGGCGCCCGTGCTGCGACCCGACGCCAAGACGGCCGCCAAGCCCGAGCCCGAGGTCGAGGGGCCGTCCTGCGTGCAGCTGGAGGCGCCGCGCGCCGCCACCGTCGTCGTCGTCGTCGTCGTCGTCGTCGTCGTCGTCGTCGTCGTCGTCGTCGTCGTCGTCGTCTTCGCCGCCGTCATCGTCGTCGTCGTCGCGGTGGTCGTGGTCAGGGTCTTGGTCGTCGTCGTCGTCGGCGTCGGCGTCGGCGTCGTCGTCGTCGTCAACGTTGTCGTGGTCGTGGCCGTGGTCGTTGTCGTCGTCGTCCGCGCATGGCGTCGTTGTCGTCCGCGTACGGCGTCGTCGTAGACGTCGTCGCACTAGTCGTGGTTGTTCACATCTTTCGTCGTCGTCGTGCTCCTCCTCAGGGCTCAAGGCTGGTGGCACCTGATTCCAGTCACGAACGTGTGCTCCTCCTCCTCCTCCTCCTCCTCCTCCTCCTCCTCATCCTCTCCTTCTTCTTCTTCGTCTCCTCCTCCTCCTCCTCCTCCTCCTCCTCCTCCTCTCCTTCTTCTGCTTCCTTCGCCCTTCCCGGCCCGTTCCTCCTCCTCGTCCTCGCCCTGCCGCGCGCGAGCTCCCGCGCGCGAGCGAGGGGGGGGGGGGAGGAGGAGGCGGCGGAGAGTAGAATTGGAGGAGGAGGAGGAGGAGGAGGAGGAGGAGGAGGAGGAGGAGGAGGAGGAGGAGGGGGATGATTGTCACGGCTTCTGGCCCCCCCGCGCTCCCGCACGGGACGCGCGCTTTTGGCCGCCTCCGCTCGCGGCCTTGGGCCTACAGTCGGGGCCCTGAAGAAGGAGCCCTTTTCGTGGGGGAGGGGCTCCGCGTTCCTTGAGTGTTTCGCAGCTTGCCTCAGGGTTTCCTTATGTTTTCGATCGGAAATCGAAGTTTAACGTATGGAACAGAGGGGCCTCGTTCCTTATTTTGGGTTCCTTAGGTCAAGGCCCCGACTGTACAGACTCGCCGTCAGAACTGGTGAGGCCCCCAGCTAAATCACCCAGACGTGCGCGCAGATGGGCCCAGCGTTAGGTCGCGCCTGTCCCTCTACAGGGGGAGTATTCAAACATAGTCAGGAAATAGTCTAAGGATTATGTTTGAGCATTTTTCTACCAATTTGGAGTATGGTTTGGGTATGGTTCATTTTTCGTCCAGAATCCCCCTGTATGGGGGACACGCCCGACTTAAGCCCAGCGCTCGCAAGGCACACACTTCCTCGAGGAAACGAATTGGAGCAACGGCAGCTGTGGCCGCAGCCGAGGCACAGGTGGCCCCGGGAAGGACGTAGCCCGCAGCCTTTTCGAAGATTCCCCAGACCCGTGCCTTGGGTCTCCACCCGGACGGTCCAGGCCGAATAGGCATAGGATGACGAGGTGGAGGGAGAGGCAGGTGTGCAGGAGGAGGAGGGTTGAGTTGGCGCAGGGTGAAAGAGGAAGAGGGGAAGTGATGAGGTGGAGCTGCGGTAGGAGGGGTAGAGAGAGAGAGGCGAGGAGAGAGTTGATGAGGATGATGCTGCTGCTGCTGCTGCTGATGATGATGATGATGGTGGTGGTGGTGGTGGTAGTGGTGAGGATGATGACGATTATGCTGATGTTGATGCTGCTGATGATGATGCTGATGATGGTGCTGATGAATATGGTGACGACGATAAGGATAAGGATGCTGCTGCTGCTGCTGCTGCTGCTGCTGCTGCTGCTGATGATGATGATGATGATGATGATGATGATGATGATGATGATGATGATGATGATGGAGAAGGATATTAAGATAAAGCTGATGATGAGGATGAGGAGTGGGAGGAGGAGGAGGCGGACCATGAGTTTGGGCAAAAGTGCTTGTTGCTGTTGTCGGCCCTGTGGAATTCGCTGGCCAACATGCTCGTTTGCGCCGATCGATGTGGGGGCATGCCTCGTCGCCCCTCACGCGGACTGCACGGCCGCTGCCAAGGCTGAGCACATGCACTGCAAGCGGCTGTGACGTCTCTGGTCAATGGCGAGCCTCTGCGGGCGTGGGCTGTACCCAGTCGTCGCGCTGGGCGCATTTGGGCGTCGCCGCGCTGCTGCCGCCGTCTCATCTTTCACTGCTGCGCAACAGTGTGGGGCTGGCCAACGCTCCCGCTGCTCCTGCTTCGTCTTCTCCTCCACCTGCTCCTTCTCCTGCTCGCCCCAGGCCTACCCCTCCCTCCTCCTCTTCCTCCTCTTCTGGATCCCAATTAAGAGCTGACCTCCCCGCGCCCCCGTTTTTGGACCCCCTCATGGCTCTGGGACTGATCCACCCCGCCCCCGAGACGTTCAAATTCACCGCTTTTTATTTTCACCTCTATCGGTTGGCCCACCAAGAGAGTAAAGCCCACGCGCGCCCGCTCTCTCAGGAGGCCGCCCAAAACCTGGCGCGAGCCTCCCTCCAAGCCGTCGAACTGCCCCTCGGCCAACTGGGTCGTCTGCGGCGTCGTCGGCAGTAGAGAGGTTGAAGACGTTGCCCCCCAGACGCTCCAACCTCCCCTTCTGGATCCACTTTTGGGTTACCCGTCAGAACTCGAACGATGCAGATCAGAGTAGCTTTGCCCCTGCGCAAGGATGACACGAACATGCCGATAGTGTATACAATGGTTGAGTATTCCTCTGGTCTCCTCCTCCTCCTCCTTCTTCTCCATCTGCCTCTACTCCGCTGTGAGGGCTCATGGCCGTCCGACGACGACAAGCACGTCTCAGGCCAGCTCGACTACGTGGCGCTCACCTTTGAAGAGAAAGTCACCTGGGACTCGCCTCTGTCACTCTCTCTCTTTTCTCCATCTCGTTTTTTCATTCGGAGAAGGAGGAGGAGGAGGAGGAGCAATGGGAGGGGGAGGACACGCTAGGTTTGCTAGCGTCACATCTGACGTCCTGCCCCTCCTCCCATGCCTTACCATGGTGTAGAGCTCCGATATGTTCGCAGAGTCGGATGCCGAGTAGGGCAGTTATCCCAAGCAGGTACTCGATGGATGGGAAAGCATGGCGTAGAAAAGCACGGCAGAGCATAGTATGTCATATGATGGTGTGGCATCGCGTAGTGAAGCATTGCATCATAAGGCATAGCAGCGCAATGCATGGCATCGCACAGCGGTGCGCAATCAAGCATCGCAGCGCAACAGCGGCAGCACTACCTGGAAGGACCGAACACGCCAGTGCTGCTGCGGGAACATGATTTGGAACAACCGCCAGCGCTGTGGCAATGAGGCCAGCGCTGCAGCGGGAGCACGATGCTGAATGACCGAAGCGCGGAAACGAGGACGGAGCTGCAGCGGGAACACCATGTTGAAAAAGTCCAAAACAGCCGAATTAAAAAGACACATCAAACTACAAACACATGAGGAGGAAATCCGATATGCGAAAACAATATGCGGAGAGGACGGGACACTCTCCGGACAGAGTCAGGCGAGAGAGGAGAGTAGTATTCATATTGTAACTGTTGAGGAGGGAGGAGGGCGGGAGGGAGCGAGGGAGGGGAAGGATGGGGTGGGAGGGGGAGGGAGGGGAGCGAGGGGAGGGAGGCGCGGGAGGGAAGAGGATGATGAGGAGAAGGAGGACCAGTGGAAACCCAACAGTCATCAACGATGTTGGAATTAACCCTCCCTCCAAGCTCCCTCTTCATCGGCCCCTACAACGGTTCATTTCCACTGGGGGGCCTGTCTCCTTGGAAGACAACAGTTTGAAGCTCCTGAAGCGTGCCACAAAATTGTTCGCAGGAGGAGGAGGAGGAGGGAGGGAGGGAAGGAAGGAGGGAAGGGGAGGGAACGGAGGAGGGACGGGAGACGATGCGGGTCACCCGCAGTGGCGCGAAGGCAATCGCTCCCGACGGCCCCAGAAGCGCAACCGGAGTGCTCTTCTTTCGGGGACGCTCGCGCAGGGGCGTGGAGGCAGCCGCGAGCCGCGCGCCGCGAAGCGCACGCTGCGAAGTCAGTGGGCGACCTGCGGTCAGCCTGCGTTTCGCTCCGCCGGGCTTGGCCCCGCAAAAGCGGGCAGCTGTCGCTCCTCCTCCTCCTCGCTCCTCCTCCTCCTGCTCGCTCCTGCTCGCTCGCTCGCTCCTCCTCCTCCTCCTTCCTCCTCCTCCTTCCTCCTTCCTCCTCCTCGCTCCTCCTCCTCCTCCTCCCTCCTCCTCTCTCCTCTCTCCTCCTCCTCCTCCTCCTCCTCCTCCTCGTGTTGCTCCTCCTCCTCCTCCTCGTGTTGTTCCCTCCTCCCCCCTCGACGGGGCCGCGAGGAGCGCCCGCCGGCGCCCGCCGCGCCGCCGTCGGCGGCGGGGCGGGCGGCAGCGCTCTCGGATCGCTGCGGCGCGGCGCGCGATCCGCGCCCCTGGGCTGCAGGCGTCGGCGCCCCGCGCTCGTGCCGAGCCCCTCCTCGCCGCGGAGCGGAGCGGCGCGCCGACCGCTCGCGTGCAGCGCGGCGTGCCGCCGAGGCCACCGCCGCGGCACGCGCAGCAGCGGCTCCCGGTCGCAGATGCCCCCCGGGCGGTGCCGGGTTCGGGCGTTGCAGTCGCGTGGGGCGAGGGGGCGCTCACGAGCGCGGCGCCCTCCACGTGTGCCCCCGGCTGCTGCGATCACGAGGGCGGCATTCAGCCCTGGAGCTGTAGGCCGCTTGTCTAGCACGTGTTGTCCCAGAGCTCCAGTCGCGTCTCTGTCTCGCTCTCTCTCTCCGTCTCCCTCCCTCTCTCTCTCTTTCTCTCTCTCTCTCTCCCTCGCTTCTGCTCAGGGGAGAAGCGAGGTGGCAAGGTCAGCAGCGCGCCGCAGTCTCGCCATCGTCCTAGATGTCGGGGCTGGGCTCCTAAGATGGAGATCGGCTTAAACGTGCCAGGGGAGGTGCTAGGCAACGTCGCGAGCTCGATACCTGCACAAGAGGCGTCTCGGGCTTCGCAGGAGTGGTCCAGGCAGGCACAAAAGGCGCCACGGCTGGGCGCCCCAGTAGGATCACGTAAGCCGAGGTCGAATTCATGCGATTTTTAGGGGACCACGTCAAGTACCATATCATAATGCGATTGGCGACCATGACTGTCGTAACTAACGTTACCTCTAGGTGTCGCTTCGTGGCTTTGTTCAGTTCGGCATGGAAAAGTGGCTCTTCAGGTTCCCCGTTTAATACCTTCGGGCCTCCCCTGAGAGGGTAACGGGTTTAAGATATTGTTCCGGTGTATCGTTGTTGGTGCCGTTTTCAGGTGTCCTCCTTTTCCTCCCCTTCCTCCTCCTGCACGAGCCACGGTTTCACGTGTTGGCTCGCCGATTGCAGGTTGGCCCTCGTGTGGCTCCGGGTTCGCTTAGTGCATCTCGTGGGCATGTGGTCACTTGTGGTTCATGTTCGCTGGTGCTTGGGACAATGTTTCCTCGGACTTTTGGACGCGAGTATCTCCCTGAACATTTTGATTTGCCGCCGATGCGGTTCTTTCAAATATTCTAATTCCCGAGGCTGTCACACGGATTGCCCGAGGACGCGCCCGCACAGTGGTAGGGCCTTCCGGTTACAACTGGCAGTGGTGGGAAAAGACCCGGAGGGAAGTGCAGGCTCACCGATCATCTTGCGCCCCCCAGTGCCCCCGGCACACGTCGTCAATGAGCTAAGGGGGGACCCCGCCCAATAAGGCGGGCACCAGACCATGGAACGCAGCATTCAATCTGCGTGCTGGTCCTCCTCCTCCTCCCTCCTGGAGCGCGTGCTCGAGGAGGTGGGAAGGAGGAGGTAGAAGGGGGAGAGTCTTGATCATTCAACTTGTTTTTATCTGTTCCCTGAGCTTCTTTCCCGGGAGTGTTCTCGTGGTGTGGCCCCAGAGCTTACCTCGACCCCTCGCGGGGCCATCCTCGACCATCGGGCCCGAACTGGCCTGGCGCCCGCTCGCCCGGCAGGAAGGGCACGACCCTTCTTGCGTGGATGACCGAATAGAGACCTCCCGGATGGGGTCCGAGCAGATGGGGTCGGAGGATCGCGCCGCATCGCCGATGCATCGGCGACATCGGCGTGGAGGAAGTCGGGCTCCACATTGAGCCATGACGCCGAGGCGTCGGCGAGATGCGGCAGGATACTCCGTCCCCATCTGCTCCGACCCATCTGGGAGGCCTGCACATGGAAGCTGGAAAATGTGACTGGGGCCAGCCTTTCCAGCCCTGGTCAGTTTCCCTCTTTTTTTTCCAGCCCTGGCGACCGCGTCCCTGCTGCTTCGGGCTCGCCTCCCCTCCTGCCAGTGCTTCCAGCCCTGGCCACCTCCACTTTCACGGACTCTCGAACTTCCCCCATCTTTTTCCAGCTTCCCTCTGTCAGCGGGCGAAGAACGGTATAGCAGAACCTTTTCCGCCGTCGGGGGCGCCTGCCCCTCGGGGGCTGGAAAGCTTATCCCCCTACGCTGCCACCGTAAGGGTATAAACTTTCCAGCCGCCTTGGGACGGGCGCCCCCGACAGCGAAAAAGCTTATGTTATACCGCTCTTCGCCCGTGAACTCTGGGCCGGTCCGATCCGACCCTCCCGGCCCGACCGCGCCGCCGGCGCGAGGACGTGGGCACGGCCCTGGAGCTCCGCGGCCAGTCGGCGGCCTGCGCGGACGTGGATCCCGCGGGGCACTCGCCGTGCCGCCAGACCCCCCCCCCCCAACAAAAAAAGAGCAAGAGGAGGGAGGGGGCAGGGTGGGGACGCGAGGGATCGAGGAGGAGGAGGTCCTCCTCCTCCTCCTCCTCCTCCTCCTCCTCAGGAGGAGGCGGACCAGCGCAAGCCCAAGACTCATCACAAAGACACTGGAATCACCCTTCCCCAGGTTCCCCCTCTCCATGGGCCCTTGCAAGGGTTCATTCCCCAGACAGTGCTTGCGGCACTACAGTGCCGTTTTTTATACATGCTCCGCGTGCGGATCATGTGTTGAACATGCAGGGTTTAGCGTTAAAAACAATGGTGAGTTCATGCATGAATTTATTCATAAACCGATCATGTATTAGCAATCCTACATATTCAAAATCCCATGTATTAAAAACTGCCCTGTAGGTTTTACCACCCTCCCCCCCCAGGGTGAAAGACCCTCCGGGACCCGATGCAAAACACATAGGATTCTGACCCAATGTGCATCCTACCTGTGAACTCATCGTATTCCAGCCAGGCCGGTATCGACCCCCCCCGCAATCCTCTGCAAAACACACTGTGCGCGCACTCTCGTTTATCGAAATTCACAAGTTTTCAAAAGCCCCTGCAAAGTGGTAACGATGTACACACGCGCGCGTCGTCGCGCGCGCATGCCGAAATCCTTCAAAAACTTTAGGTTTCGAAAGGATTTCAAAATCGAGCTTCCTTAAAACAATCAACAGCACAGGGTCTCGCAACACTGATTTTCTAGAAAAGGTTTCGCGCGCGCTCTTGCGAAATCGTAAGAAAACCATATGTTTTCAAGATTTTCGAAAACCCCTACCAAACGGGCTTCGTTTGCGCATGTTGAAATCTTTCGAACGCCCTTGCGCGTGTGCCGTCGCGAGAATCCCCTGCAAAAATGTAACGAAGTGTACGCGCGCGCGTCGTCGCGCGCGCATGCCGAAATCCTTCAAGAACCTTCGGTTTTGGAAGGATTTCAAAAGCGAGTGCCCAAAACACAAACAAAGCGCAGGTTTCGTAACACGGATCTTCAACAAAAGCGTGCGCACGCGCTCTTGCGTCGTCGTCGTCGTTGTCGCCGTCCTCCCTCCTCCCTCGTCGTCGTTGTCGTCGTCGTCGCCGTCGTCGTCCTCTGTCCTTCCTCGTCGTCGTCGTCGTCGTCCTCCTCCTCTTTGGCGTCGTCGTCGTTTCCGTCGTCGTTGTCGCCGTGGTCGTCCTTCCTCCTCCCTCGTCGTCGTCGTCGTCCGTCGTCGGCGTCTCGTCGTCGTCCCTCTTATTTCGTCGCCGTCGTCGTCGTCGTAGTCGTCGTCTTCCCTCCTTCCTCGTCGTTGTCGTCGTCGGCGTCGCCGTCCTCCCTCCTTCTTCGTCGTTCGCGTCGTCGCCGTCCTCCCTCCTTCCTCGTCATTGTCGTCGTTGTCGCCGTCGTCGTCCTCCCTCCTCCCTCGTCGTTGTCGTCGTCTTCGTTGGCGACGTCGTCGTCGTTGTCGTCTTCGTCGTCGTCTTCGTCGTCGTCTTCATCGTCGTCGTCATCGGCGTCGTCGTCGTCGTCGGCGACGTCGTCGTCGTCGTCGGTGTAGTCATCGTCGTCGGCGTCGGCGTCAGCGTCGTTGTCGTCGTCGTCGTCGGTTGTGGCGTCGTCGTCGGTGTCGTCGTCGTCGAAGTCGTTGGAGACGTCGTCGGTGTCGTCGTAGTCGGTGTCGGAGGCGTCGTCGTCGTCGTTGTCGCTGTCGTCGTCGGCGCTGGTGTCGTTGCCAAGTGCCATGTGGTACCTACCGTCACGGTCTTGAGGTCTTGCGACCAAATTGCGGGAGGGAGGGTGGGAGGACAGCAAGTTGAGCACGTGATTGATTCTCTTTTCTAAAAACAGAATAGACTCTACCCCCGCTGGTGCTATCCGTACCCTTTTCGGGTATGTAAATCAAATATGATTATGACCACATGTCCATCCTAAATATGAATTTACACTATCCCTGGGGGGCCCGTATCGACCCCCCCCCTGAAGTTCCCTTGTAACAGAAAACGATACGCGGGGACATCTTTTGTTCTAATATAAGACTTTTCCACGAATCCCTTGCACAACATTGGACGAAGTGCACACGCGCGCGTCGTCGCGCGCGCATGCCAAAATCCTTCAAAAACTTTCGGTGTCGGAAGGATTTCGTTATCGAGTTCCCCAAACACATACAAGAACACAGGGTTTCGCAACACTGATTTGCTAAAAAAGCTTACGCGCGAGCTCTTGCGAAGATTTTCACAAAATGCTACCAAACGGGCTTCACGCGCGCGCATGTCGAGATCTGTCGACCGCCCTTGCGCGCGTGCCGTCGCGAGAATCCCTTGCAAAAAATAGGACGAAGTGCAGACGCGCGCGTCGTCGCGCGCGTATGCCGAAATCCTTCAACACCCATCGGTTTCGGAAGGATTTCAAAATCGTGTGCCCCAAAAAACTACAAAAAACACAAGGTTTCGCAACACGGATTTTCAACAAAAGCGTGCGCACGCGCTCTTGCGTCGTCGTCGTCGTCGTCGCCGTCCTCTCTCCTCCCTCGTCGTCGTCGTCGTCGTCGCCGTCGTCGTCCTCTGTCCTTCCTCGTCGTCGTCTTGGCGTCGTCGTCGTTTCCGTCGTCGTTGTCGCCGTGGTCGTCCTTCATCCCTCGTCGTCTTCGTCGGCGTATCGTCGTTGTTCCTCCTATTTCGTCGCCGTCGTCGTCGTCGTCGGTCTTCCCTCCTCCCTCGTCGATGTCGTCGTCGCCGTTGTCGTCCTCCCTCCTCACTCGTCGTCGTCGTCGTCTTCGTTGGCGACTTCGTCTTCGTCGCCGTCGTCGTCGTCGTCGTCCTTGTCGTCGTCATCGTCGTACTCGTTGTCGTCGTCGTCGTCGTCGTCCTCGTCGTCCTGGTCGTCCTTGTCCTCGTCGTCGACGTACTCGTCGTCGTCGTCGTCCTCGTCGTCCCTGTCTTCCTCGTCGTCGTCGTCGTCGTCGCCGTCCTCTCTCCTCCCTCGTCGTCGTCGTCGTCGTCGCCGTCGTCGTCCTCTGTCCTTCCTCGTCGTCGTCTTGGCGTCGTCGTCGTTTCCGTCGTCGTTGTCGCCGTGGTCGTCCTTCATCCCTCGTCGTCTTCGTCGGCGTATTGTCGATGTTCCTCCTATTTCGTCGCCGTCGTCGTCGTCGTCGTCGGTCTTCCCTCCTCCCTCGTCGATGTCGTCGTCGCCGTTTTCGTCCTCCCTCCTCACTCGTCGTCGTCGTCGTCTTCGTTGGCGACTTCGTCGTCGTCTTCGTCGTCGCCGTCGTCGTCGTCGGCGTCGACGTCGTCGTCGTCGGCGGCGGCGTCGTCGTCGTCGTCGGCGTTGTCATCGTCGTCGTCGTCGTCGTCAGCGTCGGAGTCGTCGCCGTCGTCGTCGTCGGTATTGTCGTCGTCGTTGTCGTCGTCGTCGAAGTCGTTGGAGACGTCGTCGGTGTCGTCGTAGTCGTTGTCGGCGGCGTCGTTGTCGGCGGCGTCGTCGTCGTCATCGTTCTCGCTGTCGTCGTCGGCGTCGGTGTCGCTGCCAAGTGCCATCTTGTACCCACCGTCATGATCTCAGAAGGTCTTGCGACCAAGTTGCGGGTGGGAGGGTGGGATGTTTGCACGAGCAGTGGAGAGGACAGCTTCAAGACAGTCAAAGGGAGTTGCACCACGTAGATTACACCGCGTAGACTGATTTGTTTTGCATCGCATACATTGCACCACATATAGAACGCCATGTATTGCATAACATAGGTTGCATTGCATACGTTGCACCACATATACAGCACCGCAAGTACTGCATTACACATGCTGCATCGCACACACTGCGCCACATATATTGCACCACGTAGATTGCGCTACATTTGGTGCATCGCATACGTGGCACCACATTCATTCCCCTTTCCGAAGAAGAATCAGGATCCACCACCACCACCCCCGGCTTTATCGGTACACCTGTTTGTCTTGCAATTCACACATGATTTTGCCGCATCGCCCATCTTAAACATGATGTCGCTTCACCCCAGCCCAGCCGGGTTTGACCGCCCCTCCATCCCCTGCAACAAAGACTATTCGCGCACACTCTTTTTGTGTTTTCAAAAATCCCAAATTCCCAGAACCCCGAACAACGAATGCGACGAAGTGTGCACGCGCGCGTTGTCGCGCGCGCGTGCCGAAATCCTTCAAACATACTCGATGTCGTAACGATTTCAAAACCGAATGTCCAACAACCATACAAACACAACAGACATACACAGACTTTCGCAACAGGGATTGTGTAAAAGCGTGCGCGCGTTCTTGCGAATTCTTACGACATCCCTATGTTGTTTCTCACTATACTAAGAAAACGATACCACATCGGCTTCAAGCGCGCATGTCGAAGCTGTTCGAACGCCTTTGCGCGTTGCTGTCGCGAGAACCCTTGCAACAAATGCGACGAAAGTGCACCCGCGCGGGTCGTCGCGCGCGCATGCCGGAATCTTTCAGTAACCTTGAGAGTTTCGCAGCGATTTGACAACCGAGTGTTCAACAAAACGCATACAAACACGTGGTTTCGCAACCTCAGTTTTCAAAAAAAAGTGCGCGCTCTTGCGAATTCTTAAGAACGATACAGGTTTTTCTTACATGTTCATGGTATTCTGCCCATAGGGCGTCTGGCGCCGCATGCCGACATCATTCGCAAGCTCTTGCGCGCGTGCTGGGGGGGTACGGGCCGTGTGAGATAAAACCATGCGGACCACTCTCTCGCGCCGACCGCGCACGCATGTCGAACTCTTTACAACGCCTTCATCACCGACGCGAGGACGCCGTCATCGTCGCCGGCATGACCAGCATCGGCGCCCGCACTGGCCGCGCTTTCGTCGGTGCGAACATCGTCAGCAGCATCGCCGCTATCATCATCGTGTCTACCGTAGTTGGCGTTGCCATGCTACCGCGCCAGCCCAAGTCGCCGACTCGCAGTGAAGCGCCCGCTG